TGGGCACATAGTTAAGGGTCAAGAAGATTGCTACTAGAACCTTGGCTTTCTAGACGTGGAGGTTTCCATCTAATGAGACAACATATATCTTGGGAATCCGGACTTACTAAATATGAAGAAACCCATGGGAGGCCAGACATGATAAACGCGAGACATTCCATCTCATTTACATGTCCTTTCGGTGCTAGTACTCATCACACTCTTCACATAAGATTACGTTAGTATCTTCTGGACCCCTATGTGAACATTTCATCATAATAACTCATAGGTACTCTTAAGCGAGACTACCCTTTCACTTTAGAAAATCACATACAGGTGAGTAAACCTTTCACTCAACACTTTACCATAATCATAAGAAGTTACTTTCAATTATATAATCATCACATCTTAAAATGCTTTCACACTTCATAGCCAATCCCATAGTCTAGGGTTAAGGATGAAAAATACTTGTTATCAACATCCCAACCACAAATTAGACATAGAAGCATTAATATCTAAGTAAATCATACTTCATAATTGAATTCAAGAAGAATCAATCTTCACACCTTATTGCTCTTTCATTGCCTTCATACTTTAATTACAAAAGAATACATAAACAATGCACAAACAAGGTAACTTCAAAAAGTAATTCATCGCAATTATCGTTTTTCATTGTTATATAATCATCATCTTCCACAATTACTAAATAATTCCAAGAAAAGTGAGTTGAGGGAAGGACAAGGGTTCAAGGGGAAATCTTGAGTGATTATCAATAATTAATCATAATTTCGTAGTTATACAATGATAGTAGACCATAATTCATCACAATTGAATAACAACTTCATTTTGAAAAGAGAACCCTACCTAGATTGAAACCCTAGTTTTGGGGAGGTTGAAAATCATCTTTTTGAAAGGGCCTCTTGGGGAAAGGAATCCCAAGAGTTAAATAAGGCATACCTTAGTGATGATCTTGCCACGAACTTGAGATGAAAATCTTGGTGAATTGTTCCTTGACTTAGAGCTCTGGTGTTTGTTCAATGAGTTTGAGTTTGGGAAGAGAGAAGCTAGAGAGAAGTTAGATAGATATGGGTTTGGGAAAATAATGGGGTGTTATGTTAGTTATGAGTTGGAACCCTTTATATTGTCCTTAACTAACTTAATTAATCACCCCTAATCTCCTAATTTATCAAATAACTAATTAACTAAGTAACTCTCTAAGGTTAACACTTCGCAGTCGACATTAGACCTTCAAACGACGGTTGTCCGTTGACGGGGAATCGATTAAACGGCGGTGCCGTACTGACACGCCGTCATTTGATTCAGAGACTATGTTTTTTGGAAATTTTGGAAAAATAGCTAAGTTTCAACCAACGAAGCCATCGACGACTCATTGTTTGGCTCGTGGATGCACATTATCCAATTTGATGTCTTTGGATCAAATGGAAGAGTCCTCTCCAAGGACCCTTAGGGTGCTCCGTGGGGAGTCGTACCCGAACGTTTGACCCTAAACATGATTTAATACATATTTAGTACATTTTTACCAAATTTCACTAAATTCTTACTCTTAAACCCATTGAAACATTCCAAGGCACACTAACACATACTTGACAATTCTCCGGACGTCATGGTCGTTTCTTAACGTTTTGACTCTAACACTTCCTACCTAGTTTCAATACATTAGTTTAGGCTTAGAACAACGTTTCAAGTCTTTGTTCATCATGTGAGGATCTATATTAGGTAATGGACTATCAGAGTGTTACGTTATCCCCTCATTGGGAACATTCGTCCCCGAATAACGCTAGAAAAATTTTTGTAGGAAGACGATGACTCAAGACTAGCAGCCCAACCAACAAAAAAATAAACAAGATAAAACCATTATGAGTTACACCCCATATGAGTAATTCACAACTCAAATAAACACATAGCCATGTCATTACACATAAAAACTCAAAGCTCAATTTACAACATGTAAGAGCTCAACTTCACAACATGAGGAACTATCTTCTCACTATCAACATAAACTCAATATAACATCAAGAATCACCTATATAAAACTTCCTTTTAAGGAACATTAAACATGGTCAATACCATTTCATGAAAACAACTATTCACAAGGTCATAAATAAGTGCAAGTCAAGCAAAAGAGCATATTTACATGAAAACCCATTAGAGCATGAACCTTTATCATAACTATGCACATTTTAGTAAATCAAGCCAAAATTAACATTATTAATTAGTTCATTTTAAGAGGATTACTAACCCCAACTTTGGATAGAATTTTGGGAAAAGAGACGAGGATAACGGGACTTCATGTCGGCCTCAGCCTCCCATGTTTCTCCCTAAACTAGGTGATTCCTTTATTGGACTTTTATGGAGATCACCTCATTGTTCCTCAACTTCTTGACTTGGCGATCTAGAATTTCCACCGGAACCTCTTCATAGGAAAGGTTCTCATCAACACCTAGACCTTCAATAGGGAGAATAAATACGGGGTCACTAATACACTTCTTTAGCATGGAGACATGAAAGTATGAACTGAAGCTAGTTCACTAGGTAGTCTCAACTCATATGCAATCTTTCTGACCCATTGCAATATTTCTTAGGGACCCACATTCCGGGGACTTAACTTCCCCTTCTTTCCAAATACCATCACCCCTTTCATGGGGGTGAAATTTTTAAGTACACCTTATCCCCTTCTTCAAATTCTAAGTCTCTTCTTCTATTGTCGGCATAGGACTTTTACCGACTATAGGATGTTTTCAGCTTATCTCTTATCACCTGAATCTTCTCTAAAGCATCATAGATCATATCAGGACCAATGAGTGAAGATTATCTACCTCAAACAACCCAATAGGAGACTGACACCTCCTCCTATAAAGTCCTTCAAAAAGGGCCATAGAAATACTCGAGTGGTTGCTATTATTATAGGATAACTCAATCAATTGTTGGTGATCGTCTCAACTTCCTTTGAAATCAATAACACAAAATCTTACCATATCTTCTAAGGTTTGAATGGTACGCTCCGATTGACCATCCATTTGAGGATAAAAAGCGGTGCTAAGCTTCACTTGAGTACCTAACCCCTTTTAAAAAGACGTCCAAAAATGAGATGTGAATTGGGAACCTCTATTCGAAATGATGGAAAAGGGATACCATGCAAACTCACAATATCATCAAGGTACATCCTTGCATACTCTTCCGCCGAATAAGTAGAGTTAATAGGAATAAAGTGAGCAAATTTCATCAACATATCCACAATAACCCATATTGAGTCATTTTGGCTACGTGTCACAGGCGAACCCATTACGAATTCCATATGAATGTCTTCCCACTTTTAAGTAGGAACATTCATTATTTAAGTCAAACCACTCGACTTTTGGTTCTCTGCCTTTACTTGTTGATAGTTTGGGAACCTAGCCACAAATTCCGCTATGTCCCTCTTCAAACCTTCCCACCAATAGACTTCTTGAAGATCACGGTACATATTTGTGGCACTCGGATGAATAGAATATCAAGACCCGTGAGCTTCTTCTAAAATGTTGCCCCTCAAGTTATCAACATCCGATACACACAATCTACCTTGGTACCTAAAACCATTCCCCCCGTGGAAGAAGGACTCATTAAACTTTCCAAGGAACAACTCATTCAACTCCATCAATAGAGGGTCAAGGTGTTTTTTATAATTCACCTCAACTACTAAGGACGATTCGGAGTTATGGTGTATCATAAACCCACCATTTGGAGAATCTTCCAACCGAACACCCAACCGATCAACCTATGATCATCTTTCACTATGTCTTTCTTACCTTCTTCTAAATGAGACACACTACCCATGGTCATACGTATTAGATCATCCGCAACCACATTGGCCTTGTCAGGGTGGTAGAGAATACTCATGTCATAATCCTTCAACAATTCCAACCATCTTCTTTATCAGAGATTCAACTCCCTTTGAGTGAACACGTATTGAAGATTTTTGTAGTCGGTTAATACATCCACATGAACATCATACATGTAATGCCTCCATATTTTCAAAGCAAACACTACGACCGCTAATTCAAGATAATGAGTTGGATAACTCTTCTCATGCACCTTGAGTTGTCTAGAGTCATAGGCTACTACTTTCCCATGTTGCATAATGAAACAGCCCAAACCCACTCGGGAAGCATCATAATATACCACAAAAACCTTGGTACCCTCCGGTAAAGTCAAAACTGGAGCGAAAGTAAGCCTATCTATTAATAGTTGGAAGCTTTTTTAACATGCCTCCGACCACTCAAATTTAACACTCTTTTGGGTCAAGGTAGTCAAAGGAGAAGCAATAGAAGTAAATCCATCCACAAACCTCCTATAATACCTGGCTAACCCAAGAAACATCTAATGTTAGTTGGAGCCAAAGGTCTAGGCCAATTCTTAACCACCTCCGTCTTTCTTGGATCAACCTCTATACCTTCACTTGAGATAATATGACCAAGGAACGCAACCGATCTTAACAAAAACTCACCTTTACTATACTTGGAAAATAGTTGGTGCTCCTTAGGACTTGCAATACTACCCCTAAATGATTCATATGTTCATCTTCACTCTTGGAGTACACCAAAATATCATCAATAAAGATAATCACAAATGAGTCAAGGTAATCTCGGAATAACCTATTTATTAGGTCCATGAAATTTGTCGGAGCATTGGTTAAGACCAAAAGACATAACTAGGAACTCATAATGACCATACCTAGTTCGCCAAGCCATTTTAGGTATGTCCTTTCCTCTCACACTAAGTTGGTAACCCCATCTCATGTCCATGTTGGAAAAGTAGCATTCCCTTTGTAATTGATCAAACAAATTGTTAATCCAAAGGAGAGGATACTTGTTCTTCATGGTCAGCTTATTTAGTTGACGGTAGTCCATGCACATCCTAAGGGACCCATCCTTCTTATTTAGAAACAACACCTACGCACGCCAAGAAGAAATACTAGGTCTTATGATACCCTTGTCAAGTAAAACCTTGCGTTGAAGAATAATTTATTGCAACTCGGCAAGAGCCATACACGAAGGAGGGACTAAAATAGGTTTCATACCCGGAAGCAAGTCAATGCCGAAGTCTATTTCCCATTCGGGAGGAACACCAGGCAAATCATTAGGAAAGACTTTTGGAAAATCCCTCACTATGGGTACCGACTCTAAGGGAGGAACTTCCGATTCAAGGTCCTTAACCCTCACAACATGGTAGATACACCCTTTAGAGATTATTTTATAAGTTTTTAAACATGAAATAATTCAACTCTAGGGATTGAGTTACCCCCCTTCCATTCTAAGACGGGTTCATTTAGGAATTGGAACTTGACTAGCATTGTTCTACTATCTATAGAAGCAAAACAAACATGCAACCAATCCATCCCCAATATGACAACAAAGTTAACCATATCAAGTCCAATCAATTCAACCAAAGTAATTCTATTGGTCAATGATATTGGACAACTATTAAAGACTCTTCTAGCCAACACACAGTGACCCACCGGGGTTGTAACCAAAAAAGGTTCCATTAAAACATTGGGTAATACTTTTAACTTTCTAGATACTAGAGGGGTTACAAATGATAAGGTAGCACCGGATCTAGTAAAACATAGACATTAATAGAGAACGCTTGTAACATACCGGTGACAACATCGGGACACTCTTCTTGATCACTCCTAGAGAAGAGAGCATAAAAGTGATTCTTCTTAGGAGCATCGGGATTTGGATCTCTTGCTTGTGCGTGATAAATTTCTCTCCCTTGATCCTTCATTATAGGAAAATCTCTCTTCATGTGACCACTCTTGCCACAACCATAACAATTTCCCATATCAATTGGACATTTGCCTTCATGTTTTCTACTACGTTTAGCACAAGTAGACTTCTCAACATAAGGACCACTACTTTTTTTCATCTTTAGGATAACGTGTAAACCCTTTACCTTTGTTGATTCTTTGAATGGTAGAAGGTCTTTGATTAAAGAACCTCTTCTAGAATCATGACTTATCTTGTACCTCAAATCTAGTCTTTGAAAAATTTCCATCTTCAGCCCTTGTCGTCCTCAATTCTATACCAACTTGTTTAAGATATTGCTCCTCAATTTGTTCGGAATGAACCATGAGACGAGTGATGTCCATGCAAGGAATCAACATAGCCGACCTACATGCATTCACTACAAGATAGGATATCCCCATAACAAATTAGTTCATCTTGGCCCTATCATCTGCCATAATAGTAGGAGCATACTTGGATAGTTAGGTGAACTTGGGCCTATACTCCTTCACACTCATATCCCCTTGGTGTAGGTTGATGAATTCTTGCATTTTACTTTCCCTTAGTTTCAAGGGGAAAAACCTATCAATGAAGTCCGTCTTGAAAGCTCCCTACGTAATCCGGCCTTCTCTAACCGCCCATCATCCTTCCATTGCTCATACCAAAATTGAGACATATCTTTGAGTTGGTAGGTGGCTAGTTCTGCCTTTTCTTGAGAAGACGCCCCCATAACATCTAGTACTTTGAACATTTCATCAATGAACCCTTGCGGGTCCTCATTTACATTGGAGCTAAAGAAAGTAAGGGGATTCATCCTTGTGAAATCCCTTATTCTTGATGTGGTACTGCTAGTATTGAGGTTCACTTGGACCTTAGCATCCCTATTAACTGGAGTAGCCAACACTTGAGTCAAGTTATGAATGACCGCCCTTATCTCAACATTACATATGACCCCTTCTTCAATAGGAACTTGAGGGTTTTGAGGAGCCGGAGGGGGAACCACCTCATTCACATTCTTCTCTTCGACCCTTAGAGCATTGTTCCTTCTATTATTCATTGTCTATAAGCACAAGAAAGAGATTAGAAGATAAGGATATGTAGAGTTAAGACTCTAGAGGCTAGCTTCAAGAATACCAACAAAAATATACTTTCCTAAGCATCATATAGCCTCTCATTAATAAGTGTGACACACTTCATAATTATGGACAAGCCCTTAGCATTAGTCATAACATATCATAGGTAAAAAATGTGAAATTTTTTTAAAACTTTTACATTATTGAGGTTTACGTAGACCTCTCACATATCATATAGGGAGTTTACTTAGACTCCACTGATATGAATCTTACATACGCTTCTCGTTTATTCAACACATACGAATTAGTCTAATCCATTGCCTCACATAAACTATCTAAAACGAAGTACAATATTTGGGCATAGCCCTTATACAAATTCATATTTTCCACATAGAACTTACAACAAATGTCTTCAAGAATAGGGGGGAAATGTATGTCTTTAGACAATAGCAACATTACTAAGGTAGAGTAAATGGCATCATCCTCGAATGGGAAGACACACCAACAACTTGAAGAAAAAGTCCAAGTCTTCTTGCAAAGTAGCCTAGAAGGTCTTCAATGGCCGGAACCTACAATATTTGAAAAAAAGGGGAAGAAATATGGGTTAGTACAAAACACATCTACTAAGTATGGTTCCTATGCATAAACCACTACAAAAAAAAACCCAAATTGCCAACAGATTTACTAACAACTTAAATTTGTTAGTAGTCTTCCAAAAAATTACCAATATATTTCAAACTTAATTATAATTTAAAACTTAACAACGAAATTCTAACATATTACAAACCAAAATATTACTAACTACGTATTTTAATTGGTAAATACGGCGGGAAAAAAATGGCACCAAATTTAGCAACTTTCTATTAATGGATTACCAACTAAATATTACAAACACACACTTTTTGTAGGTAATATTACAAACGAAGTATATATATTGATTGGTAAAGATGACAAAAATTTTGTTTATTTAATTTATTAATATATTATTGATGAATTACTTACCAAACATTTACCAATGGCAAGATTGTGTTGCTAAATTTATCAACCAAATATAAATGTGGGTGTAAGTTAGTAACGAAATGTAATTTGTTGGTAAACTTGTCAACCAATATTCAATCAGTTGGAAAATTTACCAACGAATAAACATTGTAGTTAGTAAATTACTCACATCATTAAAATAGTTGGTAATATATCAACCGATCATTAATCCAGTGATAAAATTTACCAACATATTAATTATTAGTTGGTAAAATTAAAGATGAATGTTGAGTTAGATAGTAATTATTATCAACTGTGATAAAATTTATTTGTAAATTATTAATTACTAACTTATGTTTGAATAGTTGGTAAATTTACCAGTTGAAGTTAAATTTTTTGATAATCAGCATCTAGTATTGAAATAATAAGTAAATCTAATGATATAACACTGAATCAATATTTTTCCCCGATTTTAAGCTTTAGTGATATATTTAATGATAGATATCAGTTATTTTTTTGGTAAAAAATCTAGCATTTAATAATAAATTTATTTTTACTTCTATAATGTTACATTTACTAATAATCAGGGGCGGCCCAACCTCATATTAAGGGGGGCCAGCTGACACTACTTCGTTGAAATTTTTTAGTATATATATATATATATATATATATATATATATATATATATATACACACACACACACACACACACACACAAATATTAATGACATTCCTTATATAACGGAGCGTTTTGGATTGTTGGTCAGCGCCAAGAATGAAGGGTTATTCCTCACAAGTACCTGGGGTCGAATCCCACGAGAAGCGTGTTTTGCTTTTATTTTTGAAGCGGTTTCAGAGAAAAGTTTGTAAGAAAGATTTGAACCTTCTAACATCCTTATTCCTAGTTAAATTAGGTTGAAACAAATTAGTTGAACTAGAATACAACTTAAAACCTTCTATAGAAATTTTATTAGTTAATCAAATAAGAATTGGATACAATAATATGAAAACTCGCCGAGGAGAGTTATAGTAGTTTACATTATTTTTATTTTTATTTTTTTATAGGTTACTTGATTTATGTTTTAGTAGTACATTTTAAATAATTTTTATTAACTTAATGTTTTTATCAATCATTTTTATTAATATATTTGTAAAATATCGACACTAATTATGAAAAATACTCCGTACGCCACTGCTAATAATATTACCTAGTGTCTCGATCCAAATTTTACCATATGATTTTTTCTTAATTGTTTTTGAAAGAAAAAATGGGTGAAAATCGTTTTCCCTTCTGAAGTTTGGCTTAGGATGGCTGGTGCGAGTTTTGAGGCTTTTGTCTTTCAGTTTGTGCAGTTAGTAACTTTTCAGGCTTGGCCAAAATGTGAGTTTTTTCAATATTTTGGTAAATGCGCTCATATTAGAATTCTGTCAACGCGGTTAGCTCTGAAGATCATTTTTCATTGGATAGGATGGTTTGTTTGGGTTTTGAAGATTTTGTTTACCTTTGTGTCGTTAGGCGTTCTAACTCTTATGTTTTTAGCCAAAATATAACTTCAGATAAATATATTTGGGAAACATGTTCAAATGAGAATTCTGTTAGTACAGTTAGCTTCGGAAGGTTTTTTTCTGATCAAGCAAAAGAAGATTACTCAAGCAATAACTCAAATTCAATATGGTGATCAACATGTTCATACTCATCCTAAAGAGATAGGATGGGTATTCATCCAGTAATTACATGACTTTTTGCTAATACATGAACCATATTAAATTGCTTATAAATTTTGAAATATCCTTTCAAGTTCTTTAAAAAGATATGTTAATGTTTTTTTAGATTGAAACACTAAACATTGCGTAATAATTTAGTTTCTAAGCATAAGTTATTAGAAGAACAATGTTAATTTAGTGAATGAAAAATGACCATTTTGTTGTAAATCAATTGTATATGTGGATAATCCATTAGAGCTATCTAACAATTAATTGGATTCATGTATTAGTGTTTCCAATGTGATAAGATATCAAGGTGATATGAAACTTGATGATAACTATATAAAATTTCAAGGTGACCTTTGACTATGATATCTCAACACTATAAATAGAGATGTAATTCACCATTGTATGACATACTTGAATAAGAAAATTATCTCCTCTATCTTATACTTCGTGTCTTTTTCATCTTATATTCTGAGCTTTCTTTACAACACGTTATCAGCACGAAATTGCTACTTGCAAAGGTAATATATAAATATTTTTATTTAATTCACATATTCTCTCATAATTTTCATTATGTCGAATTTATCCAAACATGAGTTTGTGGCATTAGATATTTCTGGAAAGAATTATCTTTCATGGGTACTCGATGCTGAGATTCACTTGGCTGCTAAAGGTCTTGATGCCACTATTACTCAGGGAAATGAAGCATCGAGTCAAGATAAGGCGAAGGCTATGATTTTCCTTCGTTATCATCTCGATGAGGGCCTGAATATTGAATATCTGACGGTGAAAGATCCACTTGAATTGTGGACTGATTTAAAGGGGAGATATGACCACCTAAAGGCAACAGTGTTGCCAAGAGCTCGTTATGAGTGGATGCATTTACGGTTTCAAGATTTTAAGACCGTAATTGAATACAACTCTGTTGTATTCAGGATAACCTCCCAGTTGAAATTATGTGGGGAGACTATAAAAGATGAGGACATGTTGGAAAAGACACTTACTACTTTTCATGCCTCGAATGTGATATTGCAGCAGCAATATCGTGAAAAGGGTTTTCAGAAATATGTTGAACTAATCTCATGTCTTTTGGTGGCTGAGCAACATAATGCTCTTTTAATGAAAAATCATGAAGCTCGTCCCACTGGAGCTGCTCCATTACCAGAGGCAAATGTGGTGGAAGCACGTGATCAATCTGAAGTAAAAAGAAATGATCATCGTTTGATATAATAATGCACAGGGACGTGGCAAAGATAAAAGACGATACACTAATCATCAAGGTGGTGGTCATAATAAAAGGGAGAACAACATGATTTCTCAAAATAACCCCTCAAAAAGTAATTGTTGTCGTTGTGGCATGAAAGGCCATTGGAAGAATGAA